GGCGCATTGCTGTCGAGCTAGGTGTTGGAATTGCACACCTACCCAAAGCCATCATGCGCAGTAGGGTCATGAAAATCAAAGACTGGCGAAAGCCTGAAGAGCGATCTGCAGTGGTGTACCGCATCCCGTGTCAAAACTGTCCTTGTAACTACACAGGCCAGACTGCACGCATGCTCGGATCGCGCATACACGAATATAAGCTGGCTGTGCGACCGGGCGACGCATTATCACAAGTGGCCGCCCGCACCTACGAACGGCTACCTTTATCAGACTCGGATTGTGAATTAAGTAGTGGGTGGAAGTCTTTGGTGAATCGTCCAAGAGAGCACTTGGATCTGAGTAAGGGGATTTTCAGGAGCCCCAAACGTGTGCCTAGATTACGGGTGGAATGGAGGGTTTGCGACAGTACCCGGTGTTAGTGACCATAAAGAGAAATAGCAGTAAAGTGTTGCAGATCCAGGAATAGAGTTGTAGTAGAAAATAAATATATAGGATCGGTATTCGAAAGCAGAATAGGTAGACTCGAGTTTCGAAGCTGTTAAAAAAGACTTTCCATCCGCCGAATCCTGCTTCAAAATCTCAGACACCATAGGTAGGGTGCGTCAGCACGGCCTGATCTCTGTTGGATTAAATTCCGTGGTCAGTGGTTGCATAGGGCGGGGAGATAGAGTGATTAAACATTTCTGAGCTTCCTGACTTGTTCTTGAGAAATGGTTCAAGCTCAGAAAGGATATCCCCGCGTCCATCTGGGATCATGGTTTCGAAGGTTTTTTTGAAACCAAAAATGATGACGAATCTGGTCGCCGCTCCCTTTCAATTTTCTTGCAGCTGTCCAAGTGCGTGAACTAGGTCAGTCGTTCCACGAATTCTGGAGGATCGGTATCGAGTCTCAGTAACTTCTTCTCTCACTTATGCAGTCAGTCGCCTGAGGAGGACGGAGGCTTTGCCGTAAAAATTGAAAAGGAGATTTTACAATGAGCATGAGGTCCAACTGAAGAATTAAAGTGTGTAGTCGCGATTTTTTGGGGAGGGAGGGGGGCTACGGACAAGGGTAATAAGCAGTGTGGTGGATAGACTTGCGCAGAATCTACCGCACCCTCTCTTCTGCACTCCCCCACCTGGACCAGGTGTCAAGACGGAGTCAAGAAGACCGGAGGTGGGGAGGGCGCAGGTGGCTGGCACGGTCGGACCCGCACTCAGGCATGCCACCACATCCCCTGCTCCACAACCTACACTTGACCCGGATTTTTTTACCAACAACAACAACAACAACAACCCAAGAGGGGTCAGAAGGATGTAGATGACTGGTCAGCCATGCCCACTACCTGCATAGCCAGCTGGAGCACAAGCGCATCTACCAGCAGGGTACCAGGTGTCAGGGAGCTGCCAGCGCATACCAGGCTGCGAGGGCCATGGTTTGCTGATACTGACGTAGCACATGCTTACAAACTTGCGTAGCATCTACCGCACTCTCTCCTTCCCACTCCCCACCTGGATCCGGTGTCAAGACAGAGTCAAGAAGGCTGGAGGCGGGAGAGGGGCGCGGCCGGACCCGCACCTAGGCGTGCCACCACACCCCCTGGTCTACAGCATACACTTGACCAACAACAACACACCAACAGAGGTCAGAAGGGCGAGGATGATGAGTGGGCAGTCATGCCCACCACCTGTATACCCAGCGGGAGCGTAAGCGCATCTACCGGCAGGGAACCAGGTGTCAGGAAACTGCCAGCGCATACCAGGTTGCGAGGGCTATGGTTTGTCGATACTACCCCAGCACATGCTTTCAGACCTTTTGACCGAAAGGCATCATACAAGATTCAAAACAAACATGCACGTGTACATTTAGGCTACTTAGAGAGCATTAAGACAGTATGAATTATTGTTACAATTGTGAACAGAAAAAAAAACAAAAACTGGAGGCCGCAGTCGATAGCAGGATATTAAAACAGAAGTCAGAGGCAACGAACGCGTGGGCCACGAACTGCTCGAGTCATGGTTTTCTGGCCCCCAACCAATCAACAATCGTAACGACCTCCCTTCTCCATACTCGATGCTGAGACTTTGCCCAGGCGAAGTAGTTAGTCACACCATTGCTTCTGGTGTCAAGATTGACGAGCCAAACTGCCAAACGGTCTCGACGGATTACGAAATCAGGGAGTTAGCAATTTGACTGCGTGCGATGCGCGTGAGAACCGATAATCTTCACCGGCTCGCAGGGCCATAGAAACGGCATGGCAACTGATTACCGCAACATCTGGCCAGTCAGACCGCGACGCACTCGGGAGCCGCCAACTGTGATAGGCATGTAACGGCCTGACAGCTATATCATGTAAATACTGCAACACCTAGGAGATTTACCACCCTTACCTGACTCTGTCTTTGATGATGGAGTTTAGTGAGAATCCGAAACACCAGGTTAAAAAAGCTTTTTTTTCCAACGATCGGGTCGCCTTTTTTGCGAGAAACTTGCATCGTTGGAATACCATGACGCACCCAGAAAGACGGGTGTACAAGATGCGGGCGGAAAATCGGTCTTCAGCGAACTGGTTGCAGAATGAGCGAACTTTCGGATTTAACAGATAAGCTTTCGCTAACCAGTCCCAGCAGTGCTATATGGCTTGCCATCTGCCTTATAAAATGCGCAAAATTCGAAGAGGGCGCAATGATTTGGGGAGCGCAAGCCTTCATTACAGACGTCTGATTGTTACCGCGGTGGTTTAAGTGATTTGTGAGGAAAACAAAAGTTAAGACACATAACGAAATTAGACCATGAAGTTCAGTACACAGACTGAAAAAAACGAACAGAGTTTCTTGCTTGACGAGTGCCAAGGGATCATATCATGAAATACTAAGACTAAAAACAATATACGTTCCACAAACGCCGCAATCATCCAATTAACTCACCAAGCTGACGCCGACTGGCTACCATATGACGCCCACTCATTTACACCCACGCCTCCCGAGCAGATAGACGCGCGTGCAAGCCGGCCGTGCGTGGGCGGTTTTGGCTATCACCACCACCANACCACCACCACCACCACCACCACCACTATTGAGAAGCTGTACAAAATGCACGACTTCTACTGGCATTTTATTCCCTCTCTTCTAAAACGAGGCTAAACCATGATTGTTGTAGTGCTGAGTACTCACTACTCAAGTAGGCGCTGCAAGTCCGTGCACCAAGCCGGCACAAGCACACGAGATGTACTTAAGCATGAAAAGAGTAAAACAGAACGCTCCAAAGAAATCTTAAAAGAGGGAGAGTCACACATACCTAACAAGACCAGCCAAGACGCCCCACCCGCGACCGCATGATCCGACAAACGTATTACACATGGTAGACGGTGACCTCATGCCGTGTTAATCACTGTGTTAAGTCAGTTAGTCAAGCAGCAGAACAGAACAGTGTACTAGTGCATATGGGGGTGGGACTGGTGCCGACGTTCTCTCCTTCATGGAATTTCAGTGTATTTTTCGACAAACGTTGTGGCAGGGGAAATTGACAACTGGCGGGGCAAAACATGATTCACCCTTGGCAGGGAGCGTCGCAGACGAGATCAGATTGTTATGACCGGGGCTGGTACTTAGAATTCACACGGAGCGTATGTGTACTCGACTCTTGTCCCAAATACCAACGCGGCAGAGAAGGGATCGGACACGAAAAAGGGCATTAGGGAACCGTAAGTCTAACTGGAAAGTAATGCGTATGAATAACATCCTACTGTGGTTCGCCTGCATTCGGCCCAGTGCATTTCGAGAAGAAAATTCTAGACAGGCTGATCGATAACTCGAATACATGGATCGATCAGTCTCGAAGGGAGCAGCCAATGGCGAGGCGCCAAGCTCATGCTGACAGCGCGCTCGAGAAAACGCGCGTGGCCTCCAGTGATTGGTTGGCTCTTGTTTTTGGGGCTGTAGTCGCTCCCAACAGCTTTATCTGTTAAGTGCTGAGGAACGAATACGTTGCTTTGCAAAGAAGTACTATAAAGATCATTTCTGAAATCACTCCTGGGCATGATTATCTAAAATGTACTGGCTTGGTAGAGGGGCGCTTACTGATCGTTTTTACAGAGCTTATTCGTCCCGGTGTGCCTTGAGACTCTCTCTCGAGCCCAATCAGCAGCCGCACAGCAGCGCATGATATAGGGAGAATGACGTTACCGATCGAGCCCCAGATGTTTCACACTTTGTGATTGGGTATGACTGGCTGGCGACGGCCAATAAACCATAAATGGCCATTCTTATCTCCCTTGTCTTTGTCCGTAATGCTGTTATGCACTGACTTCCTGATCACAGTCAAAAACCTCTCAGTCTGTTAACTATGCACATTCTTCTGTAGGGATATGCGAAAAGGATAACAATAGGGTGTAGAATCCCCTAGTAGATGGCAACTCAAAAATATGCCCCAAATTTCGACGTGACTGTAAACATTGCTTATTATTTTACGTTCCCATTGTTTGAAATTTCCTCCCTTCTCGACCAAATGTAAACCTACCAGCGGCGCTTTATTCAAAGTCCATTGTTTTTTGAAAATTGTTTTTTTATTTTTTAAAATTACAACGCTCATTTCTTCGCCAAATGATAGCGTACGATAAGACTTTCAGCAGAAAGTTGTCAATTTCCTTGTCTTCTTGCTCTACGTCCTGTGTGTTGTCCCACGCGTAAAACCTCCCCTACCACCATTCAACTTATGACACGGTCCACAGACTAGCTCAAGTTAGTTGGGGGTTCTATACCGTATCGCGGCCGGGGAAAGAAGTAAGAACTTTACGCTAAAGTTCGTAATTTTACAGTGGAGCATATCAAATCGGTACCCCGCAAGGTTAATTATACTCTCGGTATACGGATTCCTACCGCCACGCGGGGTGTTCTATTACTAAACTGTGCGAAATACGTTTTTCAAACTCACCTTTCGAGCTGAAGAAAGCGAAGTAACGAATGTTAAAAACATCAAACACGTGAGACCTGTCTTGGGTCAGGGTAGCTTAAGACCCCGAATGAACGTCTTCTACGAACTTGGTGACGACCTGTTGACGAATGATCGAGAGCGTACGTTTGCTGACCTTCACTTCTTTAGGGTAGGGTGATACCATATTAACAACACAAGTACTAGCCAAAAGCTCATACACGCGTGTTTCGCCGATGTTTTGCCGCTGCCTGGAGCAGCTGCGAGGGGTTTGGCTCGTCAGTGGGTCCCCCAGCATTCCACTTTAGAAATTGACACAAGCGCTCTCCCTGCCGTGGACAACGCCAACCCCAAGTGATGACGAAGATACTAACGACGGCCGAGGCAATGGCATTACGGCTAGCGAATCCGGTGTTATGCTGTCAGAAAACCCTGGCACAAGCGCTCTCTCTGTCGTGGCCAACGCCAACCTCTCGTGATGACCACATGCCGCCTCAAATCCCTGATTACAGTGGTGGGTACTCCGTGTACTCAATCCAAGAACATCACTCAAAGACTCGCTTACCCCGCTCCCCCAGCACTAAGGACCAACTACCGCCGACCTTGTCATGCGGGCGGCGTTGGGATGATGAGTGTTAATGACTTAATAGCCCTTGACACACCTATAAACACTGTTAATTTAGAAATTCTCAGTCTGTGCCTATAGACCTTGAATAAACTGACCTACTCCAACTTCGTAGATAATTTCTGAGGAAATTAAAAAGCAACAATTTGTAAATTGGAGCGTCTACGAGAAAACACACGGGGAATACTGGGGGACCCACTGACGAGCCAAACCGCTTGCAGCTGTGCCATGCAGCGGCAGAATAACGACAAAACACGCGTGTATGGGCTTTTGGCTAGTACCTATGCCGTTAGTATGGTATCCCCTTACCCTAAGGTATACTACTAGCTGCCCGTCGGCAGTTAATGAATATCACGCGGTTACCCGCTGTGGCTGATGGACTTTGACCCAAATATTCATGTATAAAGTTCTCGGTTTGTGTCTATAGACCTTGAGTAAACTGATCCACTCCAACTTCGTAGATAATTTCTGAAGAAATTAAAAAGCGACAATTTGACTTCCTTATTTTTAAACATAGTGTTTGCGTTGTTTTTTTTTAGTTAGATGCTTATTTGAGGTTTTTACATCAGAATGTGATGATGCCACACGGCATCTTGTTTTGTCAGATCGGACCGTTGGAGCACTATGATGCTTCGCTAAACACCAGTAAGTAAGGATGAGAGAGTAAGCAGATGGATCCCAAAACCTATAACTTAGTCGGTAAACTGCCAATTCAATTTCTTCATTGCCCTACACCACTGGCTGAATGCATACAAACAGAAGTCTAATCGACTCACTGGACTTGGGACAAATGTGCACAGCAAAACATTTCACATACATGTCTCTACAACGAATGTCATTGTGCTTAAGTTTTCGCTTATTACCACCTCCCCGCCATTGTTCATCTCTGAAAAAGGATTGACTTTGAAGGGGAGGAGAGGGGTTCCATTACCTGATTCAATTCAATAAATATGCCTAAATTAAAGAAAAATTGCTAGTTACCCGAAAACCAGTCCAAAAGCATTAACCGGAATAGCAAACCAAAAACGAACAAGCTCCAGTTCAAAGAAAAGGCAAGAAAAAATTTTAAAACACATAACGGAACGAGTGAGTTCCGTGAGAAAGATCGGTGGGCGCCCCCTAACATTGTATATTCCCGATTAAAAACTGACAGGGCGACGGGTTCGGGCCCAGTGGTTAGAGGCGCGGACTTCTAACTAACAGGTCGCGAGTTCGAGCCTCGGGTGTTCCACACTTTGGGGTTGGGTATGACTGGCTGACGACGGCTAATAAGCCAGTCTCCCTTGCCTTTGTCGGTAATCCCATACTGCCTATATCATGCGCCGATGTGCGGCTGCTGGTTGGGCTCGAGAGAGAGAGAGCCCGTAAGGCACAACGGAACGAGTGAGTTCCGTAAAAAAAGATCGGTGAGCACCTCCTACCACTGTCTATTTGGGCGGGAATAACAATTTTTCTAAAGAAATGCTGAAATTCCACGATTAACGCCTGCTCGTGGAAATAAATAAGAATACGAGACGGGGCCAGCAGAGTAATGTTTAAAAATGTCATTTGCATATTTTTGCTGCAAAGGTCCTCTGATAATTGGTGTTGTGTGAAGTTTGTCTCAAAGTAAAGTGCGTAGGCCTTAATCTCACGTGTTGCAAAGCTTCTTGCGATAATTCGATGTATTTTTGCCACTGTCCTTGGTGAGATGTGGCGCAATAGGACAAGGAGGGTTTTGCTTGGTTTTGCTGATACGAATGTCACAGAAATGAAAGTTTCCATTAAGTCACGTGTTGGAAGGCCAGTTAGCAACGGATAAAGTTAAATAGAATTAGCAGATCCAATCGCAAGCGTGCTATTCTCTGTGCCAAAAGAACTTTTTTTCAATAAAATTACTGCGCAGTTTTTGGTGACGGCAGATCCAATTTTGAGTTATTGCTTTGCAGTCCGCAGTGTTTTTCATCGATCGTCCAAAAAGTAGATTCTGTAGTTTGTCTATCGAAACCTTCCAAATAAAACATTAATTGAATAAAAGGTCAATTTGGCAAGCATGCGTTTTCGGTAGCTCGTCACCAGGCCAAATAGAAGTTGAAAGTATGCGAATTTACAGGGTTTATAAGTGATTCAGGGGCTATTAACACTCATCGTTCCCATGCCACCCGCATGGCGAGGCGTGTTATGGCGTGGTCGGCGTGTTATTGAATGCGTTTACCGGAGTAGGGCCTTCTTGGGCGTTCTCCTTCATACAAATATCCGCCTGGGTTTCACGAAACCTGAAACCCCATTTTAGACGTAAAGGGAACGTCTGCCACGGAAGTATGACTTACATATACTCCTGATCAATGGAAACCCTCATAAGTTACCTCTTTGAAAGCGTTTTTATAGGATATTTTGCTGATGAAAGCGTACATAACATGACTTTTTCAAGACATAGTTATGGATAAGATTAATTCAGGTGTAGTCATGCAGCCCCACCCGAAGTAAACAATCCCCAGCCACCAGTAATACGGGATCGGTGGTAAAAAGGCTTTTACAGGTGGGGCTGAGGAAAGCACAGACGACGAGGTCAAATAGTTGTATTCAAAAGAAAGGCTATTGGGAATGCGCGGTTGAACTTTGAGTGGTTGAGAACTAGTTGCCCTAACCCCATCCCCAGCAGTATTGTGTCCATCAGGTGGTGCTTCATAACCACATCTTACCTAAAATTAGACCATTTGGTGCCCTTTTCCATCTTCTTAGAAATCGCCAGTAATCTTTTGCCTTAGACGAAATGACTCTTATTTACCTTCAAACCGTGGCTATTAGCATAATATTTGCTTACCTCTAGACGTCTTTCCCGACTATAACTGTCCTAATGACTGGCCATGTAAGTTTTATAAATATCACTGAAATCGCTAATGCTCTGTTAGTTTTCTTTCTAAGGTATGAATCAGTAGACAGCAGAGGGCTCAAGCAGTACCTCATCACATGTTCAAAAATAAGATGTCTGCTTGATAATGGTATCTGTACGATTTCATGCTGAATCTTCGTGAATTTCGGGAAAATATGGGAGCGTTAGAACAAGGGATTGTCTGTAGGCGTTAGTACCGCTTTTGCGGCATGAAATCGCGCAGATTATTCAGTTTTAAAATCGAAAAAGCGTCAATTTTTCTAAAAATAATAGGCTTGTTTACATCCTTCTCCATCTGATTCCTACGCAACAAAGACTCGATTTCCATGTGGGCGGCATTTGTCTTGGTAAAAGTTTAAAATTTAGTTTGATACTCTGAAGCAGGTTGACTCTTTTTGATACAAAAACTTGGTCTAAGACAGATGTCTTCAGTTACGGGAAACATCGATATGAGCTCTAACATGCAAGTATTTTGCCTGACAAAATATGGTCCGGAACGGACTGGACCAACAGATACAATGCACAAGGTTTAGGTGGCCCAAAATGACCGACTCAATTTCCTTCATTACGTTCCGTGAGTTAGTTCACACAATGCATGCTTCATTATAATTCTGATAAGTACCATTTCCTCCCCAAGACGTCTGGACCAGTGTTCGAGTCTCCCAAAAGAGTATATGGCGTTGAGCTTTTTAATTACCTTAGAAACTACTGCGCTAACTTGGAGGATCCTGTCCAAGCTTGATCCGAACGTCGGTGTGGTGGCTATCGGGTATACAGCCTCGCCTAGTCTTTTCTTCTGTGAAATGCCTATTTCTTCATGTGGGTAGACTTAATTTACTCCCATTCCTTTCGCTCGTTTCCCATCACGTCTGCCTTGTGTTGCTATTAGGGTTGGCGTTTGGCTTAGATTTTATGAGTTAGGGGTTAGGCTATCAAGATTGTCAGATTCAATTAGGTCATCATTCGCAGCCATCACGAGAGTCAGGTTTGACGATGAATTCTTCGCACCTTCTCCTTCACTGTAATTGATCACCACGGGCTGCGATCAATTAACCAGGGATATCTAACTAACTAACTAGTGCTACAAACGATTTGGCAGCCCCTACTGTACATAAAAAATGTGTCCGAGGCCACAGAACACATTTCGACAGAGTTAGGCGTGGGCATCACCCATCATCCGGCGGTCACCATGTGTAGCAGAATCATGAAGATGAAGGATCGACCGGAAGCAGATGAGCAATAAAGGCGTAGTTTATCAAATCCCGTGCCATAACTGTCCATGTCATTATACAGGTCAAACAGGTCGGTGGCTCAGCTCACGAATACTCAAGTACAAACGGGCCGTTCGGAGAGGCGACCCACTACCTCAAGTAGCCACGTACAGGCTGGAGGAGGGCCATGATTTCGACTCCGCCAACCCGCTAACGGTACCGTAAACCCTCTTAATCCCAACCCTCTTAACCCCCAACTGTCGAGGTTTGATTCTGCAGTCCCACCTGAGTAATACCATATGGTTAGCTATCTAAAAACATTTTGGTAGATATGAATAAGCTGACTTTACAAACATCATGTATTTGATTCTTCCTTACTATTTTAGTCAAGCGAGTGACCGTGCCACGGGGGAGGAGTGCTTCTACACCAGCCTCGGTTACTTCAGATGTCACTTCAGGCTCGCTTCCCTGTGCGTGTTTCGAGCTCTGCTTACGCCCTCTCTATTATCCTAATCCAGCGAGTGGCAAAGTAGACTTGCTAATGAAATGGTTCTGACGATGTGGAAATCCGTCAGTTCCACTACCGTGGCCATGCACTCCGAATTACCACGCGGTACCCTCAGAGGCCTTCCAGTTGTGATTACACCGTCTCCATCCTCTACGTCCTGCGAGTGGCTGTCGGAGGGGGGGAGGGAGGAGTGTGTACACGTCAACTTCACTCGCTTTCCTGCGCATGCTTCAAGATCTGCTTGCACTCCCTTTCCCTTCCTAGTCTAGCGAGTGGGTAAGTTAGGTATGTCAACAAAAATTGTTTTAGTAGGCTAACCATATTGTATCAGGCAAGTGGGCCTGCAGAACCAAACCTCGCCAAAATTTCCTACGGGGGGAGAGGGGGGCAAGATTCCCCTCTCCCCCCAGGATTACTTGACCCTCTAATGGGAGAAGTGACGAATGCCCACGGACTACTCGTTCCTTAGAATGGCATTACTGACAAAGACAAGGGAGACTGGAATGGCCATGTCTGGATTATTAGCCGTCGTCAGCCAGTCATACCCAACCCCGAAGTGTGGAACACCCGAGGCTCGAACTCGCGACCTGTTAGCTAGAAGTCTACGCCTCCAACCACTGGGTCACGAGCTTGTTGCCCTGTCGGTTTTCGATCGGAAATATACAATGGTAGGGGCGCTCACCGGTCGTCCTTACGGAGCTCATTCTTTCCGTTGTGCCTTACGGGCTCTCTCTCTCGAGCCCAACCAGAAGCCGCACAGCGGCGCATGATATAGGCAGAATGTCTTTGTCGGTAATGCCATTCTGCCTATATCATGTGCCGCTGGGCGGCTGCTGGGTGGGCTCGAGAGAGAGAGAGCCCGTAAGGCACAACAGAACGAGTGAGTTTCGTAAGGACGATCGGTAAGCGCCCCCTACCATTACTCGTTTCTTATTGGAAGGACGTAGTGATGTCTCAGTATTCGATTGCGAAGCTGCTGCGTTTTTGAGCTGCACAGCTGACCTGGAGAAGGCGCACCTCGGGGTTAATGACTGTCAACTTCACGAAGTGATCTGTCCTAAGTAGCTCGCGCAAGGCTGGTGTCGAATAGAGTAAAGACGACATCGTCTACCCAATCGATGCTGCCCACTGGTTTTAATAACCCCTTAAATACTGCCTGGCGACTCGACGTGGCTCCCTCAGCACCACGAAGATCCGCACCTACGTCCAGTCAGTCCTCCGCTACGGTCGTGAATTTTGGACTTTGGGCATGGGAGAGGAGCTGCTGCCAGAGCATCATTCTTCAAATGAAGTGTACCTTCTTCGTCTCAAATAAGCACAAGGTCGCTGAAAACATAGACCATGTGATAGTTATAGAGTTTCACACCACGTCTGACCTACAGGGCACTGGGATATGGACTCAGAGGGTTACAGCTGGCCTTGCGATAAATTCCGGGGTGGGGGGGAGGTTAGGGTATGTGTTAGAGTTAATGTTAAAGTTAAAACCCTCTTTATTTGGCGCCAATACACCTGTAGCATGGGACTCCTTATCCCTGAGTCAAGCTCATTGGAATACTGGAGAGCAAATTCGATGCCTCAATTGAACAAATTTAGTCGAACTTTGGTCCTGCAGCGTCACTTGGGCGATATCATACCGGTAGTTTTCTAAAAACATTTTCGCAGACGCAAATATAGTAACTTTACAAAATATCACGTATTCGCATCTTTCTCACCATTTTACTCCAGCGAGTGACTGTGCCACGGGGGGAGGAGTGCTTTAACGCCAGCCTCGGTTACTTCAATTATCAGTTCACATGCCCTTCTCTCCGCATGGTTCGAGCCCTGCTTGCACTCTCTTCATTATCCTAATCCAGCCAGTTGCCATGTAGCTTGCTAATGGAATTGTTCCGACGGTGTGGAACTCCGTCGGTTCCACCGCAGTGGCCATGCACTGCGAATTACCACGTTGTTCCCTCCGTGGCCTTCTTGTTGTGATTGCATCCTCTTTATTCTCTACATCCAGCGAGTGACTGTGTCTGAGGGGAAGGGGGAGGAGTGTGTGTACAAGCCACCTTTACTTCGAGCTCTACTTGGGCTCTCTTTTCCCTTCAAATCTAGCAAGTGATTAAGTTAGGTATGTTAACCAAAACTGTTCTAGAAAGCTAACCATATAATATCAATCAAGTGGGTCTGCAGAGCCAAACCTCGCTCCCTAACTTGACATTAATCTCAACCCTAACCGTCCTACAATTGAGTGCAAGGCCATCTGTAATACGGTGTGAATACTCACAGTCGTACTCCACCTGACTTTGTTTAAACAGTATAGAGGCTTCACGTGCGACCTCTGCGGCTTCGACACTATGCAGTGCAGGCGTCCACATTTTTCATTAAGTACATCTACTTTAGAATCCGCGGGCCATTAAAAAGCGGATGAAAACATATTCTGACGAGGGCGCTCGTACAGGACAAATCAGACTTGGCATTAACTAAAATTAGCAGCCGGACACATGTCCACGAGCTCTTGACCACTGGCCAGTACATCGGACAGGTGCGCAATGCGGATAGTTTTTTCTGGGTGAACTACCCATGCTAGTGCTTTTCAACAAACCTGGCTTTTTGACGACCTCCCAATAGGAGACTTACCAAAACAAAGTTGGCGACGGCTTATCGACCGCCATCTATTTCTGCAGTGTGCAGATAACGACTAAGGAACGCGTATTAAAAACAAGAGGAAAACAAGTCAAAACACACGACTTGCTAATAGATAATGCAGAAAAAAACATATTAGAAGCGGGAGATGGGTACGATATCGCGCTAAAATATACGTAAATCAAAGAGCTGAGTATTCGCTGGGCAAGCTCTGATTAAACTCATGGCCTAGTTGCTTGCAAAAGTCTGGCTTCCTCCGTCGTATGATAAGTCGTCACGAAATGTTTGCTACTATTAAATCCTGCTGGTAATGCCTGTTTTAAATTCGCATTGGGAACAAAATGCTTCCAAGATACCCTCAGCTACTACTCTACAAGACTGCCTATGGGGGAATGAAAATGTTCTCAGCCTACTGTTGACGCACCTGCCTTGTAATTTTTGTACGAACCGCCTCATCGTCCCGAAACTGATCCAGCCGACTAGCCGGGCTAGAAATGACTATCGTTCACCTGTCTGTAATTTGCAGTGAGTCACAGAGACCTGAGCAGTTGACTGCGAGGGATGTACTGCGCAGAGGAGAGAACGGCGCGCCATCTCTGTCGGGAGATGTACCGACAAGAACTTTCCATGCCACTCCCCACGTTGCAGCATGAATCTCGCTCGGCGCTGCTGCTGGCGTTTCTTCGGCTGTGCCATGCCACGTGACACAGAAGCGTGGCTAGACCAGCTACGCATTATAGATGACAGAAATGTTTCCCCTCTGTCTGCAAATGACGACAGGAGCGGGTCATCTCAACCCTTCACTCACCTGAATTGCCGCGAGATTTCGTCAGAATACGGCGCGGACTCTAAGAGACAGAGGCCTCAGTAAGTGGGCATAGAGGCGCTCTCGGAGTCTGAGCTATTGCACTTCAGGGGAGACTGACATTTGGTGGAGTGTGGTGAGAATCAGACATTACCTGCACAAGAACAACTGAATGAAAGCGGCCAGGATACTAGTCGTCTGAAAGATGAAAAATCGCTGAATTTGCAAAGCCACCAACTGTTTCTCCCGTTTTTCCAAGCTAAGTTAGATGATGAGAAATCAAACGAACGAACTGATGGCTCCGGCATCCTCCCAACCTCCTTCTGTCCCTTTCAAATGTTAATTCGAACCTAATTCTTGAGGCCTTCGTTGTTACAAGCGACAAAACAGACATAGTGTCGTTAAAAGAATTGGGCTCACAGCCGATGAGTAATAATCAAAGAACAACTGTCTAAACCTTCTTCACCCATTGGAGGTTCAAGAACTCCTTACACACTTGCGATCGGGTTACCAGCCAAGCTTAGGCATTTCCAGGAGGAAATAAGCAGACTGTTAAGTAAAGTATTTGCAACTTAACTTCGAAAAAGATCTTGAAAAGGTGATGCATGAAACAAGAGCCTTCTATGCTGTACTATCTGAATTTCTAGCTGCCCACGCTTATCTTCAATTCGCAACACTGAAACAACTTAACTGTTGTAGAACATTGATAAAGGGAGAGGCATGGCCAGGTCAGCTTCGAATGCTTGCCTGAACTTGCTCATTATGAAGTCAGACTTGCCTGAAATTCAGAGCAGTGAAAAGGCTGCCAGACAGGGGAATAGTCACCCCCTCCCTTAGTACAACGGGTGACCTCACTCAAAATTTCAGAGGGGTTCCTTTTCGTTGTCCTAATTTTTACGCAAATCCAGTGTTACGGAGAGCGGAAAATAAGCATGCGCTATAGTATCGAGCACGTGTGATGCTTTTGCTCACGCGTGTGGCGGATCGAATATTCGATATTTTCCCGCAAGGTGTTCTCGCGCATGAACCGGCCAATCAACGATCGCCACGCGATAGGTCCGAAATGTCTGTAGCGCTCGTCGCGATTTGGCACACAATAGGTCGGAATATTCCAGAACTCCTAGAGGACCAAACAGATGGGGCAAATTTGAATAAGAGAAGGATCCCGTGTTAGCAGGCTTGTTTTCCTCCCTCAAGCGACATTTCGATTTCGTCCTATGTCTTCTGTCCTGCGTCTTTGGGTAATTTGGAAGAAAAGCTTAAAAGTTCCGTGGATCAAAAGCCGTCGGACCGGATGGTGTCTGGCCATTTCTCCTTAGGTCCTGTCCTTCCCAGGTGCAAGAATCAGCCTCCTTCCCTAATAAGTCCACTAATTTTGATCCTACAGCCTTCCGTCTAATTGCCTACCCCTACTCACTTCTGAAGCTGGCTGAACGAGTTACCTTATATGTCTCTATGTCAGTCTTCTGTAGGTTCTCTGGGCCTTCGCAAATAGCATATAAAGCCAGGCGTAGTACCTAGGACGCTGTTATTCCCGTAGTTCACTCTGCTCTAGGGATTGCCGTGCGTACGCATGTGCATTCATTGGCCACTTCTCTGTCTTCAATGCTGTTCCGTGTCGGCTCCCTCTTAGCAAAGCATCTGGATGCGGCTCTCCTGAGTGGATTATTTCTCGGCTAAGAGATCATTTTGTCCTTCGTGCTCAGCTTGTGTAGCCTAGCAGTTGGAAATCTATTGTTCTTCTCACTACAGTGAATGACCGATCTCATGAAATGTTGGCTGAAATTCTGAAATGCGTTTTCGACTAAGAAGGGTTGCTTAGGCACGGTCGTAATACTGATTATCTTGCGGCATAATCCTATAATATTTTGGACTTGGCAGGATGTCAGCTTTTCAATACGCTGCTTTTCAATCTTCTGTGAAAACCGTACTTGGTAAAAAAATGACAACTTAAGAAGCATGCATTTGTCCCTTTGATTTTCCATGTTCTTGCAAATTCAAATATATTTTATAGAAACCCTGAACAAAATATGCTTTCTTTCTGTCGATTGATAGAGAATCACGTCACCTTTGTATTTCGAAACCACGCAGATGGCCTTCCTACGGGATCACATATATGTTTTACAAACTGACAAGTAGAGCCAGCCAGTTTTGTTGGGCTTTACCTCGCAAAAACTGGGAGGTCTGAGCAGTCCCATAATTTCTCTGCCTTCATTTCGTCACGCAACCTCACCCGTTTGGAGCAGTTGTTTCGTCGACGCCCCGTACTCCTTTGAGGCTAGCTTCGTCACCCTCGTTTCAGAAATAGCGACAGTTGCTATCGCCATCAACTTGAGTACCCTGGACGTTGCTGATTGGTTCGCCTGACGAGCTGCGATTTTGATTCCAGTCAGGTGGTCCGAAAGGGTGTAACTCTACAGCCGAGGTCTACTTAGCTACGAGTGCACATGCCCTGTTAGTCGATATTTTTCAGCGCTAACTGTGTGCTGAGAACGTGGCAAGATTTTCACGTGTTCACGCGATTTTTCTGTGGCCTACACCGTGAAGCGAAACTGCAAGCAATTAAAATGGAGGCCATTTACTCAAGAAACCAGCTACCTGGGCTTGACGTGAGAATATTACGTGCACATCCCGCGCACGTGGTCCCGCCATGCGAGTAAAAGTCCCATTTTGATTTATCGGCATAGAAGGCGCCATCGCCAGCATTTCATCGGTTTGCAAATTCACGTGCATAAATATGCGGTGGTTAGGCCTCCGAGTTACTCTAAACTTACACGGACGTCGAGGGTTCGCGGGGAACTGCGCACTACGGAGGGATATGCTCACATACTCGTGCCGAAGGCAAGCGCGTCTTCTTTAACATATTAAATTTATAACGACCGTCTTTCGCTTTTGATAAATAGGCTACTTAATTTCTGCCTTATTTTAAGACTAATCTTTCCGTTGTGTTTGCGTCTAGGATCTCTAATATACGCGCCGTGTCCTTCTTAAGCCGAAACTTTGTCTTTTTGCGTCACTATGAAGAGGTTCTCTGATTCTCATAGAACCTCGGATTTTGTATGATACAAACAACAATAGGAGACGTTCATACCATAAGTAACCGACCTCATGAAACGCTAACAAAAATGCCGCAATGTGTTTTTGATGAGAGAGGCTGCGTTGATGGGGCTGCGATACTAATTATCGTGCGGAACAATCAAGAGTCCTTTCAGCGACATCAGGCCCATAAAATTTAGCAGTAGACACTTCATAAGGATCATCTATAAATAGACAGACACAACGCCATATGAACAGACTTTCCAGACTTTTATTAACTTCCCAAGTACAAACTTTTCAAATATTGCAAGCTAGTCTTTCCTTGGGCAGAACATTTGAGGGAGACGTAAGTTAATGGAGAATGAGCATGGGAAACCGTGTTCCTGCATATCTTTTATTAAATATACTTGAAATTGAATGCAAAGGAAATACACTAGTTGAAGTTCTACTGTAAGTCTTGGTGGATGTGACAGAAATTACACGGACATCGAAAGCTAATGGAAGGAATGTGTAATGAATAAGTGATCATTCATGATAAACAGGATTTTTATGGATGATTAAAGGACCAGGACCAGGTTTAAGGCTAGATTCCAAGTTCACGGTTAGATGAATGAGGATCAAGTTTAGGGTTAAGGTACGGGCTACTGTCACTGTAGAGTCAAGATTTATGGTAGGGTTAGGGTCAATAGTAGAGCAACGGTTTGTTTTATACCAGGGTTACTGTTGGTTTAAGAGTGCAGGAATATTTTGCTCCCGCAGGAATTATGCCTATGTCCACCTTTACAACTTGGGCGGATCGTACCTATTCCCAGGTCCTGTTTAGGGGGCCACATAAGTCAGTCCTGCCGAAACCTCCTTCGAGAAGTCTTTTTTGTTTAAAGTCATAACTGTAGACTAAATTTCTCATTTTGCCGGTCGAGGTCGGGCTATTTCTTCTGATTTGCGTTTGTTTACTTCTTCTCCTTCTCCTCCTTCTTCTTTCCCCTTTTCTTCTTCTTCTTCTTCCTCCTCTTTTTTTCTTCTTCTTCTTCCTCTTCTTCTTCGTCGTCTTCTTCTTCTTCCTTTTCTTCTTCTTCCTTCTCTCTTTCTTTTCTTCTTTTTCTTCTTTTTCTTCCTTTTCTTCTTTCTGTTTGTCTTTTTCGCCTGTCTGCTAGTAAGTCTGTGTTAGACTACTGCCTGGGCATATCCGTTTTCGCTACGGTAAGTGGAAGTCAAACCGTACTCCCTCTTCTTCTTCCTCCCCCCTCCTCTTTTTCTTCTTATTCTTCTTCTTCTTCTTCCTCCTCTTTCTGTTTGGGTAAGGATCGGGTTAAGGCCCCCAAACATCTGTAGCATGCAAACAATACCTACTTACTGAAGTGAATTTAAATCCGACACGATTACTTCGGTTTGGTGTTTCATCGTACAAGGTTAGGTCGCCTGTTGTTGACGGTCAGGTGTATTATCTACGACGACCTCAGCTCAGAGAGTTGAGAAGCGATCGTTGTAGACACCTAATGTTTATTTTTCAATTGTCCTGCTTAATTGTGGTTGCTGCATGTTAATGCATTAAAACTTTTCCGACTGGAAAAACAAATCTACCTGATACCTATACTTATTTAGCCATTCCTCTATGCACACATAGGTTCCGTCCGTAAAATCCCTATTGCCACATTTCCCGTAAGACGGGCATCTTTGGCTGGTCGTTTGTGTTTGGGGGCCTTCTCCCGATCGTTGCCTCTGTTTGTCTTTTTAGCCTGTCTGCTGGTAAGTCTGTGTTAGACTACTGCCTGGGCATATCCGTGTTCGCTACATTAAGGGGAAGTCGAAACGCACTCCCACCTCTTCTTCTTCCCCCTCCTCATTTTCTTCTTCTTCTTCTTTCTCCCCTTTTTCTTCTTCTTCTTCTTTTTCCTCCTCCTCATTTTCTTCTTCTTCTTCGTCTTCTTCTTCTTCTTCTTCTTCTTCTTTCTCTTATTTTTCTTCCTCCTCTTCTACTTCTTCCTCTTTTTTCTTCTTCCTCTTCATTTTCTTCTTCTTCTTCTTCTTCCTCCTCAGTTTCCTCTTCTTCTTCTTCTTCTTCTTCTTCTTCTTCTTTTTCGTCTTTTTCTTCTCACTCTTCTTTTTCTTCTTCGTCTACTTCTACTTCTTCTTCTTCTTCCTCCTCCTCTTTTTCCCCTTCTTCTTCTTCTTCTTCTTCTTCTTCTTCTTCTTCTTCTTCCTCCTCTTTCTGTTTGTCTTTTTTCGCCGCTCTGCTAGTAAGTCTGTATTACACTACTGCCTGGGCATACCTGTTTTCACTACAGTAAATTGAAGTCAAACCACACTCGGTTTGATGAATTAATTCGGTGAGATGCAGACGCCGCACGTCGACTCCGACCACTGACCATGGCCATTTCCTGTTCAGCTTCGCGGGCAACACACGGCTTCCCCTTATATTTGACCGCGAAGTCATGACTGCGCTTATTTTCCTCTGCAGTGACTTAATGAGTCTGCCTTATTTTCGAGTACAATGCACAGCAGGTCACTTGGCGCTGTCCGAGGCGGCAGTTTGGCCGTCGATTTCGACGATGTCCACCGTGTGCTACAGACCAAGGCGGAGCGGGGACGGTGACTTGTGCGTGAGTTATCTTTTTGTGATATCAGACTTGTGCAACATCTACCGCACTCTCGCTTCCCCACTCCCTACCTGGACTCATTGTAAAGACAGAGCCAAGAAGACTGGAAGCGTGAAAGGGCGCAGGTGGCTGGCCCGTCCAGACCAGTACCTAGGCGACCTGGGTGAACATGTCCTTACAACTCGATGGTAAGTAAGATGCACCGGCGACGATAGGGTGTAGGACCCCCAACTTAATTGCACTAGTCTGTAGACCGTGTCACACGTTAAATGGTGGTAGAGGAGGTTTTACGGGTGCTAAAACACACAGATCGTACAGCCAGAAGACACAGAAAATAGAGGACTTTCTGCAGAAGGTCTTGTCGTAAGCTGTCATTTCGCTAAACAGGAAAACGAGCCCGTGGCCCAGTGGTTAGAGGCGTTGGACTTCTATCTAACAGGTCGCGGGATCGAACCCCAGGTGCCCCACACTTCGCCGTTGGGTATGACTAGCTGACGACGGCTAGTAAGCCAGAAACTGCCGGACTGGCTGACGACGCTAATAAGCCAGAAATGGCCATTCCAGTCTTCATTGTCTTTGTCGGTAATAGCACTCTGCCTATATCATGCGTCGCTGAACGACTGCTGGTTGGGCTCGAGAGAAAGCCCGTAAGGCACAACGGGACGAGTGGATTCCCTAAGAACGATCGGTGAGCGCCCCACTACCAATGTATGAACATATGTACTTCGCGAAAGCGGATGCCCTCCGGAATATTGGGGAACGCACCACAAAGCCTACCATGGTAAATGCAGAAAGAATGGCTTGTTTGTAAGACTGCCTTTTCCAAGGGACGCAGCATGCGAACTAGTAAGAGGGCGTCCGAGGACAGAGATCACTAGCGTTTTCCTCCCGGCGAAGTCACGCATATGGTTCAAATCTCTTCCCTCCTACGCTTTGGAGTTAAAGAGAGACTACCGCCGCAGGCTACATCGATGTGTATTTACTCATTTACTTGCTCCTGTGGAGCGGGACACATTGGCCGTACAACGAGGCGCCTGAAAAAGAGAGTACATGAACAGATACCGGCCTGGCCAGACGGTGCTGAAAATAAATCCATTTCGAGTTCTTTTCTCGCACATCTTGTCGATGCGAAAAACCGGGTCGATGCAAAAGAAGCCCTTTTAAGTTGTCTGCCGGACACCAGCAAATTTCCCCAAAGGCCGACACAAACGAGTGCTAGCTACAGCCGGGATGGTAGCTATACGACTAGCGAACCCAGTGCTGTGTTGTCAAAAGACGTTGAAACAGGCACTCTATCTTCCGTGGCCAACGCCGACCCCGGATGATTATCGCACGCCGCCCCAACCCCCCTGATTACAGCGATGTGTACTGCACGAATTCGACTTACAAAAATCACTCACAGCTTATGTCACTTCCCCCCCCCTTGCTCAAAGGCTCATAACACGCCGAGGCCAACATGCGGGTGGCGTGGGAACGATAAGTGTTAATAATCCCCGAGACACTTATAAACCTTGTGAATTTCTCACATTTTTCATTTCTAGGTTAAGGAGTTGGTCTGATGACGAATTACCTAAGACATGTGTTTGCTAACGTGACTTTTCGAGTGTAACATGGGAGTATTTGCAGAAATCGTCTTTTGTGAGGGTTTCCTACATGCCCCCC